CAATAGTTTTAGTCTGTGTTTTATTTAATTGTCGTTTTAAATAATTACATATTGCGTAATCCATAGGTGCTGCATCAGGACATGAGGGCATCCATTCCTCTGGTGTAATATAATTAATTTTGTATTTCTTCAAATATTCAATTGATTGTTGAGAGGTATGACTTGGTGCAGAATCTTGATGGAGAAACCATTTCATTCTTTCTTTTTTTGGAAATAGACGAGGTATATCTCGTTGTAAAAATGGTTGTAAAATATTGTTAATATAATAATTGGAATTGATTTTAGCACCGGGTTGAACAAAACGAAGAGTTGTTTTACCACGACTTGATATACCACCCCATACCATAACACCTTTAGGACGAGAAATGTTTTGTTGAATTATCATCCGATCAGAATTTGGATCAGAATTTTTAATATAACAATTTACGTTTTCCTCCAACTCCATCCAGATAAAACCAAGATTCATCAGTGGTAGTGAATTTTTTGTACCGGTGGTTTGCTAATTGAAGATAAAATCGACGTGATCGTTTTCGACGTTTTATAATGTTTGATGATGTAAGACTTTGAACTTTTCGTTTCTTCCGAAGACTAAATCCAGCATTTTTGATAATGTTCGAGACACTTGATTGAGCAATATGAACAGATTTTGCGATTGCACGTTGAGTTGGTGGATTATTAATGTCAATTTTTTTAATTACTTTATTTACGATTGACCTTGGTAATCGTGACTTTGTTCGAAAAATTTTTATTTTTGATTCAGAATTTCGTTGACGACCAATCTTTCTTTTCACATTGGATACAGTTGATTGAGATATATTTATTCCATCAAGTTTCAATATGTGTACTATTCGTGGCTGAGAATAACCTTGGTGCAAAAGTTCTAAGACATGTCCTTCGACAATGTCAGAGATTTTATTACATGGCATATGTTTGAAATGAAAATGAACGTATCGGACGAACGAACACAAGTACTACTATTAGTAAACAGAAAAGAAAAAAAAATTCGTTCAATAGTTCATGCGGACGACACATCGCAAAACTATTAAAAATAACGTGATCATGTTGTAGACATGGTTGAAAGCTACGTTTAGATTCTAATGATTCTGCTATTCAGACTATGAGAAGCATTGTGAAATAATCAGAAGCATGATGACACTGACTCTGAAATAGACGATCATGTTCTGTTACAACATCTATCGAAGTAAATAATAGATGAGCTCTATCAATTTTAGGAACTTTGTAATCTTTAGAATAAGTGCCTGTATTGATGGTCCATCGGCTCATACTGTTCGCATCTCGTTTTCATAGTGTTTCCTAGATGAATATTAGTACAGTACGCTCTTATTCACAGTCACTCACTCTGACTGCCGTTCTGCTTAACGAAAGCATCAATCAATGAAGCATAAAAATTATAGATACATGAGACTCTATTATGAGTGATTTTCTTCAGGAAGTCTTAGATAAAAATACCAAACCTCGTTTTAATGACCCCACACTGTAAAAAAGCATAGACTAATGAATTCAACAAAAAGTCTTATTACTTTCAAACCCTTTTTCTCAAATCTCCATAAGTCATATTAGAGTATGTGAAACAATCCCACACTCACCCTAGGTGAGTGTACTTCTAAAAATCATATCTTATTTCTTGTCTCAGTTTTTTTTCAAGCAACTGAGTCATGACAGTAGACAAGAGCGTACTTTACGAATACTCTTCCTAGACTGAGTTTACTGTTTTCTATTAATGCAATAATAAAATTACCTCATTTTTTTAAAACTTGATGGTCAACGAGCAATACTTAGGACAATTCTAGAGCAAGAGATTAAGCTAGTTTTCAGATAATGTCTCTCTGAAAGCTTCTTAGTCTTTTCTTCGCCTATACTCTCAAACTAAATAGCGAGTCCGCGCATATCAGGCAGTGTTATTGTTTCTCTAGGAATAACATAAGCAATCATTGTAAGTTCGAATTTCAAGTAGCTCTTATTATTCTTTATACTCTTTATTTAGATGTTTCCTTAATCTGTCGCCGATTCTGACTAGCGTTTGGCGTCTACGCACATCCCTATCAGTGTTTAATTAATCGGATCCAATGTTTTTTCGAAATCATCCAGTACTGAAGTCAGTACAAAGATCGTCAAAGAAGATCAACATAATGATTCGCGTGTCTTGCTGGTACTGAAAAACCATGAAAAGACTATTTAGATCACCTAATTTTCATAGAACTAACCCTTTTCTTTTTATACTTTATTTAACTAGCTTCTATAAAAGCTGTTTAAAGTATCATTCCTTTGAAATGTGTCTAGGTTTGCATAGTAGTATTTTAGTGGTATATCTACAAAACAGCATCTTGCTCTTGCAAAATAGCTGTTGATGGAGCACCCGTAGGATTGAGGTAAGAGAGGAGGATTGGATGTATTGATGTATAAAGTATAAGATTTTCCATTCAATAAAACTCACTCTAACTCATGTTTTCAATTAATGTGAGACAAAAACCCAAACATATCTTTTATATGAATTTATTCTCACTTATTTGTTAACTCGAGATATGGGTATGGTAGGAATAGGAATGTGGGTGTGAGACAATATGAACTGTGAATAGATATGGGCTAGGTTTGGACCTCATTTTGGATCTGAATATGAGTTCAAATACGAGTGTTACGTGTAGATAAGGAATGGCGATGTTCATATAAATGTGACTGACGAGAAGACTCATGTTTGCGGAGGCCTACGTATCCCATTTTAAAGTTCAGCTCATACCTAACGCTAAACCCGCACCGTAGGTACAGTAGGTATGAATATGAGCAGGATATGGACATGATCTGTTTATACCTGTGTTGATATGTATCTTCTCCATATCCACATCTACCTCAACGGTCACCATTACATTTTGTATACATCCAACACTTATATCTACACTGCCACTTAGATCTCACACATAAGTGAAACCCGCTTCACATCCATGCACATTGCTGTACCATTCACACCCAAGCCCAAGCTTTGCTGTTAAGATTTGGGTGAGAGCGAATGAGAGTGAGTAAGAGTAAACTCATAAAAGCGGTGTGTGGTCCTTTCTTCTGACATAGATTGAAGAAATGGATTAGAGTGAAATCTCTTGATTGGAGAATTTTATACTAGATGCATTGATGCTGCCTTCGAATGAAAGGGTGATTAGAATGAGTGAGAGAGCATTTTACTAATATTCTGTGTCGAGGCAGATCTCTTCCTAGTAATTTCCTTACATTACGGAACATGAACAGGAAAATACTCAGTAACACTCCAATTATACGTTAATTGTGCATTATCTCTGACATTTTCTTCAAGTCTTCTATCGTAATTCATGATGGCCAGTCAGATCTCTTGGTCAGGCTTTGTACAGATTGAGAACGGTTCAGAATTTCATCTCTGAACACTTCAACATTTGTTTGAGTTCGTGCTTTACAAAGTACAAAGATGAATTATTCGTATTTATAGGTTTTTCATGGAGGTTCATGGCACATACATATGTATAAAGTACAGCTTTCAATGGCCAACAAAATTATTTGTCTAGTTGCTTCATTTGCTTTTTTACTATGGAAAGCGCAAGAGATAGTAAACAAACAAGTACAGAATTACTGGTGCCAAGATGTTACTACTATCTGGCACTATGAATGGGCCATGAAAACACCACAGAACGAAACTGCCTTAAATGTATCATCATTTTGGGTCACTCCAAAATGCACAGCAAAATTTCAAATCCAGAAATTCGTTGAAGACATTGAGTTTTTTCTAGAAATTGGTAGCTCATTTTTTTCTCTAGAACACTTCAAATGAGCTTTTTACCTTTATCACGTCCTTTTGCTACAGACATATTAATTGAAATGTGAATTTTCTAAGACCTATCGACTCGAAACTTACAGGTCTCACAAAATCAATGATCGTACAATTAACTCAATCTCTCTGAATGTAATATTCTAAGAATATTCTTTATGAAAATTCAATCTAACAGAATCATTCTACAAAGATTTCCCGAGATCTGTGCATTCTCTTTAACATTATATGCAATTTTTAGAGAAGTCAAACGCGTTATCATGCTGAAAAAGTATAGTTCCGAACAATTTCTTACTATGCTGAAACTCATCATATATATCTTAACATACTCTTACTATAATTCACGTCAGTCATGGAGGGAAAAGCAGTTTGTGGCTTCTAAGACGTGTCAAAATCTGTTCAAGTCCTTTTCAATGTGTTTAATTGTATCTTTATTGTTCTGAATAGTACAATAATTAAAGATTGTACAGGAAATGTTAAATCATATTGACTTTTCATTAAAGAGATAATACAAATTTTTATTTAGGATTTTAAAATATTTTGAGAGTTTTCAATGGCTTGGATGATTCTAAGGGATTTCTGTCAAATCTCAACTGTGTATTCTGATAAATTCATACTTGAGGATGGAACTTTACCTCGTGTAATTCATTTTCCAGTGCAAACTATATACGGAAGACTTAAAATAAACATTGACACTATCAAACGACATTCTTTTCACTCATCTTTCAGAAACAAACGAGTTCAATATTCACAGTACATATGTGCTAGATGTATGGACCAAGTCTTTGCTAGTAACTCAATTGTCTAAGCGTTAGTTCTATGCAAACAAAATGTTTGAGAGTTCTGGAGGACTTCTGAACTTTCTACAATCTGCTCTTTTCTTTTTTAATAATACACAAGCATATTGATACCACTTAATAAGAGAAATATTCCTTAGATAGGAATGATGAAACCGGTCTACACAACAGAATCGAATTTTAATAGAGTTACCTTTGCTAAATATATGCGTTCGTAATATTGTGTGATAGTGACAAGAGCGGCAGTATAGTGTATTGACGCCTATCGTATACGAAGCAATATACACATAATTTCACATACATATGCATTTCTATATTAGTTTTATTTGGACGCGTTCATGCGTATATTTTAAATTATACGTTCTCATTTATCACTGAGTTACACAATTCTTTTTTCATGAAAATGTTTTTCTCTGTTGTCCTATCACT